CCTTCCTTAGGGCATAGATTTTTTTGTTTAATAAATCTATTTAATCTAGCAGGGGAAAATGTAGCAATGTTTAGTAGTAGGAAGCAGACTTTGGACAAATTCAAGCAGAAATAAGGCACATGTTTTGAGTAGTGAAGATACTTAACCAGTCAAACAGTTTACCAAGGGACAGGTTGGATTCCTCTTCATTGCTGTGGTTGAAACAGAGTTTGTTTAAACTAAACCAAGGTTTTCTTTCAAATTGTAGTTAAAATTGGATGCAGGAATTATCATGTGAGGGTCTTTGGCCTGTGTTGTATGGCAGATCAGACTAGGTGATCATAATTGTCCCTTCTGGCCTTAGAATCTGTAAATCTATTTATAGTCTCGCTGTGGTCTCCTTGCTCAGCCCGTAGCAGATAATTCCCATGACTCGTATGATCAGATTGGGTTCTGAGCAGGACTGGTGACAGCTTGCACAGGTTATACATCTGCACCATTTATACAACTTGCTACACAAATAGACCTGTTTCTACTGGGCAACATGTCTGTTTCCAGTTATCTACCAAGCTTTCGTGCAGATTTTTACAAGCAACATTGATTTTTTTATTGTTTTGCTGTATCCTAATATAAAATAGTTCTTGTGAGATGTCTTGGGTCTTGTAAACCAGAGCAGTAGATAGATCAGAACTGTGATTATGTTGCCCAAATAAGTTATTCTCTGAAAGACCTTTTTTTTTTTTTTTCATTGTACACACTGGAATATTCTCTCTTTCTACCCCAAGTTATTCTCTGAAAGACCTTTTTTTTTTTTCTTCGTTGTACACACTGGAATATTCTCTTTTTCTACCCTGTTGTGAAAAGGTTTGCAGGGATGCAAACAAGGCCAGAGAATTAGCAAGATCAGGATGGTCATTGCCTTTGTGAACAATGAAAAATGACTCTTGGATATGAAATGCAGAAAAAGTCCTGTTCACTCACTCCTACATGACAATGCCAATTTATGTGAACTGATATTAAATGTTAAATAACTCATCCAGACACTGCTTTTGGCAATATTACTGGGGTAGCCATTACAGAAGGATGAATTCTCTGAAACCTTTCCTCAAAATATGAGATACAAACAGGTTGTCTTCTAACAAGAATCACAGTCTACCACTCGTGTCCCATCTAGTGAAACCTTTCCTCAAAATATGAGATACAAAGAAGGTTGTCTTCTAACAAGAATCATAGACTACCACTCTTGTCCCCTCTAAGAAAAATGACTCTTGGATATGAAATGCAGAAAAAGTCCTGTTCACTCACTCCTACATGACAATGCCAATTTATGTGAACTGATATTAAATGTTAAATAACTCATCCAGACACTGCTTTTGGCAATATTACTGGTTTAGCCATTACAGAAGGATGAATTCTCTGAAACCTTTCCTCAAAATATGAGATACAAAGAAGGTTGTCTTCTAACAAGAATCATAGACTACCACTCTTGTCCCCTCTAATATTCTTGGGACATAGGCTATTGCTGTTGCTGATAGAGTCCTGAAAGTAGGGGTCCTTTGGGTTTTCCATTGCAACTGCCTTGGGATTTGGTTAGTTTGTTTGAGGTTAGGTTGCAGCAGTTTATAACTGGTTAGTTTGTTTGAGGTTAGGTTGCAGCAGCTTGTAACTGTTTTGTCATTTGTACAGGGACTTATGCAGGGAGTAGTTGGTTGTTAATTTGAACGAATGAAACAGCATCTAAATACCTGCAAAATTACTGAATTTAGGAAATACTGCCACACTAAATTTGACAGATTCAAAGATGATTTACTCCATCCTACTCCCTTCTCCCAGTGCCTTCCCTTGAAATAGCAGCAGTTAAGATTGCTTTGAAGTAAAGAAATCAGTGCCAATATTTGGATCTAAAAGAGAAGAGGGAGGTTTTGAATAGTTCCCTTTGAACGATGCGATTTGGCCAGTCCTGCATTGTAAAGGTGGCACAGTGTGTTGCTACGTGTCGAGTCCAATTTCAGACCTTCAGCCTCAGATCTCATTTCTAGCCAGGCAAGAGGTGGGAGCACCACAGAGGCGGTGTACCAAGGCTAGGAGAGATTTGAACTTTTTATCGCGCTCGCTCAGTCAGTGTCTTCTTTCAGGCCAATGCTTATGGTGCTGGTGGCGAGCTGCGTCCAGATCTCCTCTGCTGAAAGGAGCCTCACTCAATGGAGAAGCTCTTGTACAGAAGATATAATGACTTCAAGGCTTAGCAGTTCAGAATAAGAGCATGTTCTTGTGCCCAGTGCTTTAGACTGAAGATACTTTAGAAGTACAAAATATTACTAGTATTTCAACTAGTTAGCATATTTTAACTCGCTCACACCCAATTTTTCCATGTATTTATTGCTTTGAACAGCTCCTGCGTGTTTTTAGCAACGCGAGTGCAGCCTGTATTGCAAACTTCTCCTCCTCCCTGCAGAAGCAGTTACCCGACGGCTGACATAGCGCCTGCAACGCTGGGACACCCTCTTTAGTGGTGTCACTTGATGTGCGATGCAAACACACACCGAACTATCATTAGAATAAAAGGAAGTGCTCAATATAATTGTGTTAAAGATTTCCGTGAAGGCATAGGGGATGCTGAGGAAGAGCTTTTCAATTAAGAGGAGGGAAAATGCAAAAGGGGAGAGCATTTAACCTTATAAAGTCTGGTACCTGTTTCTCACCAGTTCTTAGGCAACACGGAATACGTAAGCTGTGTCAGTGGTCACTTAAGACTATTGATAGGAACTGGTGGGACAAACATCAGTGTAATAGAAAAAGGCTCAAAAATATCTCAGTATGTTCGTGCTGCAAAACCAGCATTAATACTTGCCCACGTTCTGAGTTTGCCCCCTCCCAAACAGCCCTGCAGAAATTCAAGCAAAATAGCCAGAAGGTGTCCCCTGTCCCCTTGTCCCTACCTTCAAACTCCTGCGATGGGTGTGTGGGTGCTCAAGGCTCTCACCTGAGCCCAGGGAAGCCCAGACAGACGTGATCCGTCTCCGTTGGGCGATTCTTGCACGTCAGTAGAGCTGTTTGCTTTTGCACAACTCCCACTGAAACGCAGCCCCTACTTCTTGTTGGTGGAGCGCCAGAACTTAATTAGGTGATTGTGGAAGACTCAGAAGTTGCGCTGAAATGTTTAAACCTGATTTCTTCTGTTAAGCTCTGTGGACCCAGGCCTAAAGCATGAACCGTGCTAATTACTACCTCCTCCTCCTCTGCTGAACACCTCTTGTTTGAGGTGCTGCATTTTTCTCCTCTAAAAAGGTCGATTAATGGGGTTGGTGTAAGGCTCTCATGTCTCACCGTTTAGCTTTAGGATTACAATTTAGAATTTCCACTGCATGTAATTTACCTCAGCCCCCTCTGAATTGCAGCAGGTATCCAGCTACTGTTCATGGTCAGTGAGTGCTCTGGTCATTTGAGTGTTCTGCTGGTGCATCTCATTAGTAGATTCCTGCAATCAGTGAGAAGAGCAGCGTCCCAAGTATTTACCAGCCTTTGAGCTGAAAGGCTGTAGCTTAAGTAACAAAAGTTTGAAAGCCCTTCAGTTTTGTTTTAAGCAGATTTAGAGGTTATTTGAAAACGGGTAACTTTCCAGCTGGTTTGGTGAACTGCAAAGTATTATAGAGCATTTTCACTGTGGAGCAAGTTTTCAAAACAAATATTTCCATTATGCCATTTGGAGAAGGCTCGCCTTTGTCTTTTGGATCACTTAGGAAAAAAAGCTACGTAGAGAAAACAGTTTCTTCTTCTTCTTGTTGAACTCCCTCCTAGAAATAATCGCCAATATTGACAGCTCACAGGTCTTTCAGATTCCTGACACTTTTAGTGAGGGTTTCCCTGCTTCTTCCTTTAAAGGGGACTCTGCATTGCTAACAAGTGCTCTGCAAAAATTTAGATGTTCATTTGCTTAGATGTACATTCTTTTTGGATACGTTGTAACGCTTCTATGTATTTATTATACATGTAATATCTTCTACCTCTTTTAAAGTATTGAAAGAACAATAAAAGTTTAGTGTGGGATTAAAATATATATTTAATTCATGAAAATCATCTTATATGTTTTAAAACTCTATTCAAGCTAATCCTAGAAAGGTGCTTAAGGTAGGTAAATTACACGTTTTACTACTTGAGCATTAGAAATGCCATTAGTACAAATTTAAAGGACTGCAAAAAACAGTAGATAATGCTAATTTCAAATAGAGAAACTAAATATATTTTGTACTTTTTTATTACTCGATTTCTTTTTTATTTTATTGACTACTTTTTATTTTAACTATATGTTCTTACACGCTGCAATCATAATGTAGTGTAATGATATTAATATTTTATAGAATCTGTATTTATAGTTCTTTATTTAGAAACAATGCAGTAGGTCTGCAGATCTTTGAATCCTTCTGGAATGGTGCCCTCCAAATAATGATAAATTACTTGTGCAGTATGCCATTTGCTAATTATATCCATGATTTACTGCAGAGCAAGACTTAAATCATTCATTTCAGTCTTGCGTAACAGTGCCATAAAATTTTTAGGTTTAAAAATGGTTTCCATGTGTATAATTTAAACAAATTTTAGAGCAATTGTATACACAAAATATTGCAACCATCCATTTGTTACATTCTTTGTCTCTCTTTTTTTAAACTTGTACTTTTAATGATTACTGTGGTTGAAATTGTTATGCTTCATTTTCATAATCATAGCTTTTAATTCTACAACAGTTTTCTACATGTTAGATTAAGAAAAAGATGGCTAATTGTGTGTAGATACCATGTCATTCCTGAATAGCCCCACATTCTGGAAACCCATTTTAGAAATATTCGGTTTATGAATTAGTCTTCAATTAAAGGCATTTCTTCTTTAAAAATGAATTATTAGCTCTAAGACCTTCTTGTTTGCAAGCAGCTAATGTCGATTTTTTTTTTTTTTTTCACTCATCCATACACCAAAGTACAGTCAACTCTCTTTCTCTGTATTTGTCTCTTTATCCATACCTATAGGTGAAAAGCCTTACAAGTGTCCTCATTGTGATTATGCTGGTACTCAGTCTGCATCCCTCAAATACCACCTGGAACGGCACCATCGGGAGCGGCAGAATGGAGCAGGACCACTCTCTGGCCAATCTGCAAGCCAAGAACACAAAGATGAGACACCAAGTAAAAATTCTGTGTTTATTAGACCAGATATATTGAGAGGAGCCTTCAAGGGGCTTCCTGGTATCGATTTCCGAAGTGGCATGGTCTCACAGCAGTGGACGTCAGGAATGCTGTCTTCTGGAGATCAGCAAGGACAAGCAGCTGGCATGTCATCTGAAGTATCTTCAGAAAATATGAAGGGTTCAGACATATCTTCCAAAGGAACACACTTCTCTGAACTTGGCCGTGCTTACCAGAACATGGTTGGGAACGGCGTGAACTTTCAAGGGTCTTTGCAAGCTTTCATGGACAGCTTTGTCCTAAGTTCTTTGAAGAAAGAAAAAGAAATGAAGGACAAAGCGCTCTCAGATCCACTTTCAGCAAAAGCTCTAGGCTCAGACGGTGGTGAGGAAAAGATAAATAGCAAGTCCTCACAGCGAAAAACAGAAAAGTCACAATACGAACCTCTCGACTTATCCGTAAGGCCAGATGCAGCCTCCCTCCCAGGTTCATCTGTTACTGTGCAAGACAATATCGCTTGGCACGGCTGCCTATTTTGTTCCTTTACCACTTCATCGATGGAACTAATGGCTCTGCACCTCCAGGCCAATCACTTGGGCAAGGCTAAACGTAAAGACAGCATCATAGGGAACAACAAAGAGCAATCTAGAGAAGCCTCAGCCTCGGTTAATAAAGTGAGCTTGCTCCCCTCTTCTGTGCAGTCCAGCAAGGAGGCGGTAGTTTCAAACATGTTGAGCCAGCTGGACTCAACTTCTGAGAAAATGACCCAAGGACAAAATAAAGAGACCCTGGGAGAGGCAAAGAGCACTGCCTGGCCCAGCCACATGGAATCCACTTTTTGTAATTTTACAACAGACTTCTATAAGCAGTTTGGTGTTTATCCTGGTGTTATTGGCCCGGGGACACAAAATTCTTGCACCAGTAATGAATCCGAAATAAAAACACAATCCGAAGATGACCCAAATATTCTGCTCTCTGACTCTGTAAATAAAAGTGCTACTGATGACCTGTCTGACATAGCTTCATCTGAGGACATGGAATCTTCCAAGGAAGAAAACATTGAAGATGAGGACATTGACACAGAACCAGATATTATGAATAAGCAGTTGTCTGCCCTAAATAAAGAAAGCAGTGAAGGAGGCGACAATATACAAAGTGCAGTCACCTCACAACCAACACAAGGGCTTGTATCACCACTGCCACAAGCATCAGAAAAGCAGTGGCACGGTCAGAATCTTCTATCCTCCCATGAAACTGCACAAGGAGTGATGAAACCCGAACAAGTTCAGGGTCCACAGGTCCTGGAGAAGCAGATGAACATGTTGTCAGTCCTAAGAGCTTACAGCTCTGATGGCTTAGCAGCCTTTAATGGACTTGCAAGTAGCACAGCAACTAGTGGATGTATCAAGAGACCTGACTTGTGTGGTAAGTTTTAGACCTTCTTTTAGACCATTTCAGAAAACACTTGTGCAGAATCATGAAGCTGCTCTTTAAATATACTTAGTCATGTTTGTTAGTAATACATTTTTTTAAATGTTAAACCCTGTGGGCCAAATTCTAGTCGTATATGTGGTCTACTCCATTGAAATCAGCAGTGCTGCATGCATATACTTACACAGGATTTTAGAAAGAACTTGCTTTTTAAACTAGAGTAGCAGCAATATAGACTATCTGTGCTAGTGGCATCTGAAGGGGATACTGCTTTAGCATACTCGAAGGAGGAAAAAGTTTTAAAAAAATTCACATGGTAACTTGCAAACTTTTCAGTATTTTGATATAAGTAAGAACCCAAGAAAAACACTGGATGCTTTGCCAAGCAAACCTTGCTTTCTTTATCTTTTTTTTTTTCCCCTTTCTTTAAATTAGGGTGTATTCAATTACCACAATAATAATGACATCAAAGGCCAAGTGCATGGAATGTGTCTAGCTGTGGTGAAGAGCCTTCTTTTTATTTCTTTTCTTTCCCCTTGCCTTTTTTTTATTATTTTTGTGTTTGTTTCAATGGCACCCATACAGTAGTCACCCTTGACCATTTTCACAATTCTAACTAGCGGTGGTACAAATTGTGATTTGCCTAATTAAGAATATGCCTCCAGGTAATTAAAAAAAACAGCAACAACAACAACACACCAAACAAACAAAACCATCTTTTGCCCTTATTAATCTCTGATTTACAGAACTGCAGTTTTACTTCCTCGTATCACACACATCATATTTGACAAAAATGAAAGTTAAATCTATTTGGAACAAATGAGAATGAGGATTTTTTTCAATTTATCTCCTATTTTGTCAGTATAGTTCTTGTTTGAAAGAGATTTTAGAGCGTCAATCCTTTGAAAAACTGTATCACTTTAAAAAGCAGATACAGCAAAGGGCACAGAAACTTCAGTAATGCTCGTTTCACTTAACCTTCAAACTAATCAGAAAACTCATTGTCAGAGCTGAACATGCTTTATAAAATGTATTCAAGTTAAAAAAAGAAAAGAAAATGTGATGAACAGTTATAAAGCCTGACAATTTAAAATGAAAGCCTAAATCTGCAAACACTTAAGAGTGGTTACCCTGGTTAATTTAAGGTTAGTGGGAGCTTTGTTTGACTTTACTAGGATGTGCGTAAAGCCATAACCCCTTCTTCAGGCCCCTCTCCGCTTTTCCACGTTTATTAGTTGGTCTGATAAAAAAGTCTGATTTCTCCTCACAAAGTTTGTCTCACTTGTATGTATCTTAGAGCATTTTGGCTTCACCATGTTGCAATTACTTAAACTGAATCATGAGCCCAAGTATCTGCATGGCCTTACTTGTAAACTTCTGTGTCTCAATGCACTAAGAACCGATTCAGATAGTTGGAAATATTTCCAGATTCTTCAAAATCAGCAGTTACATTACTGTTATTTTGAAAATAGTTGATAGTTGATTTAATTTGCAACTGATAAAATCCTCCTTGGATTTTTTTTTCTATTTGTGGAGTACAATCAATCAGTTTAAAAAAAAAAGCAGCAGAGAAATGACTCTCTAAACAAACAAGTAAAAAAAATGGAAAAATAAGATTTCTTGGTTTGTGTAAAATGTCTTTATACTTCTTGCCAGACATAAGATTTTTAAAACAACAAAAAAAACCCCTTTAAGATTATTATTGAAATGAGGTCATATTACTTCCATTAGTTTTTTGTTTCATCTTCCAATCAATTCAAGAGACATTTTATAATGGCTTGAGTTTATATGATTTTAAAGACCATATCCCTTTCACAAGCTCTGCCCAGTGATAATGGATTTGAGTTGAAGTATGAAGGAAAAAAAAATACAACAGAAGCTTGTCTGTTCTACTTTTTAAGCCATTTTTTAATGGAAAATGCAGTGCGAGTCCTCCTTTCTCCCCCCTCCAAAAATAGCTTTTAAAAATTCTTTACCGACATTCTGTTGAGTGTTTGCAGTATATAAGTATTAAGGTTGACTATTTAAATATATTCTTTCATTTTTCTCAATATCTCACAGCAAAAGTATGATGAGTATGAACAAGCCCCATGTCAGGAGTTCTTTTTTTATTTGGTTGGCTTGGACACCGCCCACTTGAAAGTAGCGTTTTTGGGGAGTTTTCATTTTCTCAGTGACATTTTTTACTGTGAAATCACACTCCATCTGGGCATGCCAGTGTGGGGAATCTCACCTGATGTTTCTGTGCTTGCAGATTAGCCTTCAGGAGCACCCTGTTCATGTATTAGCCTTCCTTCCTTAGTCATGGTTCCCTTTGTTTCTCCTACTGTCTGAGAGATCAGAAAACATGAGACCCATCTCCAGCACCCGATTCCAGGGCGTGATTCTTGTGTTCTGTTGTATTTTGGGAGACTCTGTGCATTTGCCTATCTTTTTACAGCCAGCGGTATGTGGGTTGTTGACATCTCAAGAGAGAACACTGATACACTCGATACAGTCCTTGCACAATCAAGACAGCAAGGCGCGGTGCTCTTTCCGCAGTCAGAATACAGGGGAAATGAAATAAAATATCTCAGCCTCAGTCAGCTGAGATTGCATCTTTGATTGGCCACACTAATTGAGTTAAATTTCTGGCTGCATAAAAACAAGCTGGGATTTTCAGTGATCCATGTGGATCATTTTTAGTTGGCAGATTTTACCTTAAGATAATGGGTCAGTCTTTAAGCACAAATCTTGGCACGAAAATGGTTTAATTTCTAGAGGAGAATGCCACCAACTCACATTATTGTTCTGGAAAGTCACCACAGATGGGAGAGCAGTCCTCAGTTTCCCTGTATGTAGAATGAGAGAGATCGATGATGTACACATAATTCATTTATGCTCCTGTCATGCTTCAGGCTGTAAGGATGAAAGACACAATTAGGAAAGAACCATAATTACTGCATAATACAGAAATTTCCATGTCAAAATGCTGCTGAGAAAAATCACAATTTTTTGTAATATTTCTCCTTTACATATATAGCAGAACAGGAAAGAACAGAAAGAAAGAAAAAAAATACCATTGAGGAATTCAGAGTCACTCCTGACCTGTACTTGGTTTTGGAGGCTCAAGTGACTATACCTTGGAGCCGATCTGGTTAATCTTTTCTAGCACGCAGTTTCTGAGAAGAAGACATGCCTTTCCTTGCTGCTTGGCAGCCAGTAGCCCAGCGTGGAGGGGAAGCCCAGGGCAATGGCTCCATGGTTTGGTAGCTGTCCTGAGCTTCCATGTCCTCTGCTTTCACAGCCCTTGCTTGTTTGAGAAGTTACGCTTGAAAGTTCTAGACCTACTTTGTATTTCAGCTTTGCAAGATCTGGTTTCCTTTCCATTTATGCTCTTCTCTTTCTCTGCTTATCTTCCCATATACAAGTAGTTGTATCGCAATAATGTTCTACCTTCTGTACCAAGTCAATAATTTACACGTGATTTACACAGCATCTGTTTATTGCAAGACCCTTTCCTTTCTCTCTCTCCTCCCCTTTAAATTTTTCTGCTTTGTGTCTAAGACAGTAAAATTTCCCTGCTTGCATTTTCTGCTTGGGAAGTCCTTAGGCTTTCAAGGAAGAGCTGCTGGGCTGCAGAAGTGTTGGCCAGAGATAGTCCTGGGCGTTAGCTGGTTGCTTAATGGGTTAGTACTATTGAACCCACACTTAATGATGTCCGAAAGTGTTAGTTCCATGTTGGCTCTATAAATCTAATTTGCTTCCATTCATGCTTGCTTTCCTCTGCAATTAGTGCTGTTTTTCTCCTGCGTAGGCTCCACCCCATTATCACTTCTTCCTCTGTGTGCAGACAGGGCAGGGCTCTTCTGAGGTTGGGTAGCAGCGTTGGAGTTCTCATCCTGCAAAGGGCTGAGCACTTCCAGTTTCCTTTGGAGCAGAAAGCGCTCAGCGTTGCACAGAATTATTAAAATGTTCAGCATTGTAACTTTCTGAAATACCTTCCAAATGTGGAACTGCAGCACAGACAAGAGGGCTGGGCAAGGGGAAGATCGATTGTGGCAGATTATTACAGCTTTATTGTCACATAATTATAGTGCTCTACCCCAATGTTTAAATAGTGAATTTAGTTGTTGTAAATTGCTTATTGCCACAGGTGTCAAAACCAAAAAGATTATAATACTAACCCCTTCAGAACTACCACCAACATAGAAAATACAGAAAAAGATTTTTAATTGTTTGTGGTGGCTTCACTTGAATCCTTATTGCAGCTCTTTTAAATCAGAAAATCCCTATTAAACAGAAGCAAAAGGCCTGGTCTATAAGCAAGCTCTAGGGCAGCTGCGAGGCAATGGAAGGTCATCCTATTGCAGCAAACCGTAGTACTCCTGCCCATTTAAAGGATCTTGTCATGCCCTTAACTAACTCAACTCTTGGTCCTGGTCTGCAGTTGAAAAGATAACCAGAATATTCTTTTCCTTCAAGGAGGAATGAAATGATACGGAAGTTTTACTGCAGACTTTTCTTTACCCCGTTACGGTGCTTTTGAAGAGGTTTCTCTAGTTTGAGTTAAGAGGTCCAGAGCCTGCCTTTAGCGTGTGAGCTGTGCTGCGGACGGGGAGATCAGCACCTCGGCCCCACGCTGGGGTTTCAGCCCCACTTTGGGATGCTGCAGTGCCATTTGCATGGCAGCATCAAACCCAACTCATATGGCTTGCTTCCTTTGTCTAATTAACTGGGAATGCCAGTGATCCAGAGAAGTTTGTGTTGCTGGATAAAAGGGCCGGTCTGTGAATAGCATTGTATTTGCCAAATGGTTCGCTAGTCATTTCAGTACAAACAAATGGATGGTGTCTGTAAGTCTGCAAACACTGTTGACATTTAGCCTTGTTTATGTTACTTTCCTTTTGCTGCATATTTTTGGCTAGAAAAGATACTGTCTGAATCAACATTGACTTCCTAAGCAGAAGCTAAGGACCCAGTCTTGCATCCCTCGTTCTCGATGAGTGGGACTGCTTACATGACTAAGGATTGCAGAATCAGGTCCTGTGTTTAGTTGATTTTAAATTTCATTGCTATATTCATGTGATTTAATTTGACTGTATTTTGTTGTATCATACATCGGTCAGGTGATAGGTCCGGTATCACCATTTTGTTTACTATTGAAAATTTTTATTTCTTACCATTTTTCACGTGGCAGCGTAACATTCCCATTCCATTTCTGTTTCTGGAAATTAACCCCTAAAACATCCAATAGAGCGAAGTGCTGAGTACCTCCTATTCCCAGTGAAACTGGAGGCGTTCAGTCCCTCCTAGCACCAGATCTGAAAGGGGGATTGTGTTTGCAAAAGGAGGCCTTGGTATGTGCCTTGATTTCAGACATCAGTGGCCAGCCGCACCAAGGCAAATCCCTAGCACAGAAAGGCTTTTCTTTTCTTTGCGGAGACAAAATAATGATGTAAGCTTAGAGCCGTATGATTTTACTCTAAGTTTCATCTCCCAAACAATATATTCTTATTGTTTTTCTCATATCCAGGTCAAATTTAAATTGTAATTTAGGATTAGGCAGAGGCACAGGGATGTTTCCAGGTCTTTCCAAAGTGAGACAATGCTCTGGTTTGTGTTTTGGTTGAGGAATATATATTCTTGTGTCTGAAGTATAGTATTTCCTACAACTACTCATGAACACGAACAATTTAGACATCCTTGTAAGACAAAACTAAGTGTACGATTAATACCTATTATGCGGCCAATTTTAAACAATTAATTTGACAGCAATTATAATTTTATGTTACAGGCTTTCAGAAATAAATAACCAAATTCATCTTTGTAATCTAAGGAACTTGGATATCTTTATGCGAAGATGATCTTGTTATGCAGAGTATTGCATATCTGGAATTTCTGAGGTTTGCTCCCACCTCTCTAGATGCCTGTAGTACCAGGGGTAAATAATTACCTGAGGCTTATTAATTGTTTCAGCAAAGAAAAAAAAATATATAACTTAAGTGTAAGCATTAATATATGTATACACAATACATCCACAGTATATAACAAACCATCATAATAGTACAAAAATAGAGGTCCTGAATATGTTCTGTTATTTATGTGTTTGGCAAGCTTAGGGAATGGACTTTAGTATGAGTGAAAATTCTCTTAACATTTTTAAGGTTATTTATTGTCATTTCTATTTGAGTTTTTAATGGTCCTGTATTTTGTAATGCTTTAGCAGGAAAAAATACTGTAGTTATCTTTTTTCATATTCTTTAAGCAATATTTCTAGCTTAATATATTGTGCCAGGTTTTCCAATATTAACCAAGAAAGACAGTAAAATTCAATGAACAGCACTCTGACAACCACAATTTAAAACCTGTGATTGAAGTGAAATGTGTAAACTTCTAGTGGGTTATCATGTGCTTTGGAATAGAGTATTGTTGGAAGTAATTAGAAAATATATTAAGGTTTCCTGGTAATGAAGGTATGTAAGTTTTAATAATTGTTGCTTTCTGAATAAGTGTCAAACTATATCTTTAAATGTATATGGAGTTACAAGTTAGGTCACTTCTGAATGGAATGTAAAACAATACTAAAATGCTTCAATAACTTATCTCAGTGTTGCTAATAAAAAAAAAGCTGTTAACCATTAGTGCAGTTTTGAGTCATTTTGTTAATTCATTCAAGAAAACTCTCTGAGAAACGGTTGTACCTTTTGGTAGACCGAAGACCACTCATGCAATCCACAGTTGTTTGATGCTTTGAGAGGCAAACTCTGCAAAGCTGCTTGTTGGCCTTGTAAAGGATATTTATTAAAAATGCAGTCTTCTCAGGAAGGAGTGGTTGTTAGAACGATGCCACGTGTGCTTAGGCAGGTATATAATGGGGGGCATTAGACTTCTTTCCTGTGTCACAGAAAATATCTTGGGAATGGGGGACTTCTCTGTCACTATTAAAATCCTGCAGAATTTTTTTTTTTGGGGGAGGGGGCACCGGGTTCCAAACGAGTAATGTGGGATGGATTCAGTGTGTAAGTATTAGTGCTGGGTGCTTGGCCAGGGTGAGGTACATGTTTAGGTCCAGTCCTGCAACCAGTTCCATCAGTGCCAGTAGAATCAATCGCTCAGGTCTGCGGTAAGTATTTCCAGGATGGGACCCATAGGAGGTGGCCAGTGCACCCCTGAGTATGGGAGCTAAAGGAAAACATGACTAGGGCTCACAATGTCACATCTTCGTTAATGCTGCCAGTTTTGAATAGCATATTGGTACTTTTTATTTATTCCACCAAAACACCATGAGTCAGGACCTGACATTTTAGCGTTCTGTGTCATACTGAGAAAAATCTGTAGTTCAGCAGTAGGACAATTATATTATTTTGGAAGGGCTAGAAATAATACAGCATTTGTGAGACAACTGTAACATTTATCCAGACTCAGTGTGAGATTGTTCTTCCTTTTATTTGGAGAGCACTTCCAAAAAAGTATCAACTAGGAGCAAAGGAAAAAAAAAAAGACAAGAAAAAGTGGCAATTATGAATCCACTTAACCCCCATAGGGTATAATCTCATCTTGTGTAATACCGCTGGCTGATACATGCCTAAACTTCTATGCAGTGAGCTGTGAATATAGTCCTTATTGTCCTGTGGGCAATATGACTAAGGAAAAAATATCTCTGTAATACAATGGAGCATTTGTCTGAATGGCGTAACCTAAGGTCCATAACATCAAATCTAAAGTTGTAATTATACAGCTGCAGTCACACCACTCAAGTGAAGGCTGTGTCAGCACTTGTATTATATAAGAAATCCTGTTTTCAAGGGTTGATGAGTCATAGACAAAAAACATTCCTCACTAAACAATTGTTCTGGTTGTTCCGAAGCAACATCTAGGTACGGGCCTTTCCCCAGTAGGACGCAGTCGTGTCTCCTGCAATGTGCCATGACGTAACTTGGCAGTTTATTTTGCTAATGGAAGTATCTTTTCCAAGCTAGAAAATTACCTAGAAGGTCGGGGGGGGGGGGTGTGCATTTTTATTATTGTCAAAACATGAACTAGTGGGGAAAAAAAACCAACAGGGTGGGTAAGGTCTTCACTAACCAGGATTATAACAGGTGCAATGTGTCTTTCTCAGAAATTATCAAATTAGGATTTTATTCTCCCAGGTTTTCACACCCAATATTGATTTGAACGCTTCCTTAGAAGAGCTGGTCCCAATTTTATTTTTTTTTTGCAATGCCTTGTGTCTCGAGCACAAAAAAGAAAGGTAGTGAGGGGGGTGGGGGGGGGGGGTTGTGCATTTTTATTATTGTCAAAACATGAACTAGTGGGGAAAAAAAACCAACAGGGTGGGTAAGGTCTTCACTAACCAGGATTATAACAGGTGCAATGTGTCTTTCTCAGAAATTATCAAATTAGGATTTTATTCTCCCAGGTTTTCACACCCAATATTGATTTGAACGCTTCCTTAGAAGAGCTGGTCCCAATTTTATTTTTTTTTTGCAATGCCTTGAAAGCGAGCCCGCCAAGCTCCCGGTCACTGTGACTGCCACTTGAAGTGGCCACACGCTTGCTGGCAGGGAGCAGGCAGGAAGGAGCTCTATCCCCAGCGGCACCGCAGAGGTGAACCAGGAGCATCCCTCCCGCTCGAGTGGAGAAGGAGCACGCTTAGGATTGAGGCCAAATACCAGAGACCACAGCCCTTTTCCAACGGCGTGGAGTGTCTAGGTAGGTGTGCTGGGTGCCAGTGGCTCCAGCTCTCAGGCATTGCCATTTATAAGCAGGTGTCCCCAGGGCTGTCCCCATGCCAGGCGTTTGGTGCCCAGCCCTCCCTGTTGTGTGGGGAGCGAGGCGCCGGCCGGCAAGTTTCTTTAAGCCGATCTCCTCTGATCCCGGGCGTCTGTAGAGCCCTTCCCTGCATAGAACAGCCATTGTTCGGCTCGCAGAGCAACAGTGGGGTAGAAAATAGCATGCCATGCTGGGCATCAGAGAGGGAATTGTTCCTTAATTATCTCTTACTGAAGGAAAAACCCAAGGCATATCCCAATATATGCCATGACTCTGGCAGAACACAAGGCTTTTAAAGAAGATTGGGGAGGGGGGCTCACGTTCGGAAGCTGGTGGCCCCTGCTCCTCCTGCAGGTCTACCTGTGATTCACTTGCTGGCCATGGGGAAAAATAAGTTTTCCGCTTTGGAAATGGAAAATAATAGCACTTATCTCCCTGGTAGGAGTGCTGTGAGGATAAATGAATTAATTAATGTTTGTAAAGCACTTTGAAGATGGAGAACGTTATATAAGTCCAGTCTATAAATGCTTCCTTCTCCGATACAACTACAGTAAGCTGTACAAATTTATTGATGGAGATAAACACACATGGAGAATACATGTTGGGTGTGTGCATCCCGTCAGTGCCCAGGCAAGGTCGGTGAGCAGCCCCTCAGGAGCTCTTTGCACCTGCACTGGCTTTGCCATAGTTTGGCCATAATGTTGTTCCACCAAACCCATGGATTTTGGCCTCAGTGCTCTTTGGAGTTCCAGCTGGGTTGAGCTGCTGGTTTTTGACTGTCGCCGCAGGACGCCAGCCCCAGCCGAGTTGCAGCACCAGGGCACGAGGCAGGTGATGGTCAGCAAGGTGTCTGGTGGGTTGCTTGGTCCCTAGCCCTCCTGCACCTTGCAGGTCCTCCTGTCCTGTGTCTGCATGAGCAGGACCTTGTTAGGACTGAGAACCCACCACACTGTCTGCCACCGTTTGTCCCCTCCTTTTCAGTGTTGGTGTGATGCCCAGTGTTGGCAGGTCCTGGTGTTCCTGCTCACGCTTGCTGGTCCGGTGGCTGAACTGGCTGTTGTGTGGTTTTTTAATTGAAAAGCAGTGACTTCCATTCACTACTTGTAAGTTAAAATTTTTATTGCCTGCTTTTCAGCATTACCACCCTAGATTAGTCCTTGTTGCTTTACTTATTTATTTTTTATTCAAGCCAGGAAGTGTGCTTGATCTTGAACAACTTGCATGTGTAACAAGGCAAGTTAATAGGACACAGGGAAGGAAAACCAACACTTCAGCCATGTAGAGATGTGACATTTATCAAGAGAGACATGTAAGAAAAGGTTTGTGCACCAAAATGAACAGGTTAAAGACAAAATTTAGGATTACTCAGGGGCTCCCCTCAGTTCACAGCTGCCACATGGATCAGTTTGTGGACCTTGGGAGAAAGGACCACATTAGCCCTCATTGTGTCTGGTTTCACTTGTCCCTTTGGCATCTCCATCCCGATCTGTGCACTTGGTTTTCTTTTAAATCCTTTCAAATCTTCCTGGCAAGCCTGTTGCTGGTTTAGCCTGTCCTTGGGAGTGTGAGGAGCCCAGCCTGCTGCTCCTGCGGGTGCAGGTACCCCCCTGGTGAGACCCCAGCCCCACTCCCCACCTTGGGCAGCTCCCCCTGCTCAGGGTTGGAAGAGGGTAGAGGGTGACAGTTTTTGCCCCACAAAATCTACTCCTGTGGTATATTCACCCCGATGCCAAGTGCCCCAAAATGCATCACCGGCACAACCGGACACCCCCAAACTCTGACCGGCACCAACACGCACCCAGCGGTGCGGCTGATTTCTCCCTCCCCGAACACAAGAGCTGTTTAATAATGGGAGGGTTTATGGGTGTATTGACTGTACATTATGGGAGGGTTTATGGGTGTATTGACTGTACGTTGGGGTGAAAAAGGAAAAAAAAAAAAACACAAAACACCAAGCCAGAAAAGCTTTCCCAAAGGATAGAGGTGGGAATCCCATTAACATGACGGCTCCCTCTTTAGTTGCCAAAATGATTGACAGCTGGATAAGGTCAGAAGATGAAAACCAAGCCATGGGGGACAGAGCCAGGAGGGGAGGGGGCCAATCAGTTGAATAAAAAACTGAGTGTCAGTGCTGGGGAAGGGGAAAACCAGCACTCCCACTAGAAAAATCCTCACCCTCTGCTCCCCTACTGTTTGTTTGGGGAAAATGCTGCAGCTTAATCAGAATTATTTACAAGATAATGGTCCATTGTTTGTAGTAAGACAGATGCTGTCTGTGGGAATTTGGTGTTTTATGCTCTATGCATTACAGTGCCATTGCTGTGTACAGATGGGATCACAGTGGTATTGTTGTTATCCACTTTTTGGAAATTTGGAGGATCCTTACCGTGAAAGGAGGATCCTTAAATAGAAAAAGAAAGAGATTTCTCGGACCCAGAACTGGGATTTTCTCTTAAGGTAGAATTGTTGTTCGTACATGTCTGGGAGAAGAAGAGGACAAGGTGGAAGCACTTTTGCTTGAGACCTATAGCATGAAGGGCCCCCTGGGCTGACTTGACGTGGTGGTGGTGGACATGAATTCAACAGATGGATGGAGCCATCTGTCTTGTTCTGAAGGCGAGGAGATAGATATGTTCTGGTGGGGTGTGTTGGTGCTCCCTCCTTTGCTGGTGGCTGGCAGAGTCAGTTGCTCAGAGGGTGGTGTGAGAGGTACACACACACATCCCTGCAGAGCAGGGCTTTCCTGCTGAGGGATCAGGGAATCACGGATTGTCCTCTGGCTGTGCGACTGCAACGCGTGGTGTTCCCCACCACCCTCCCCATGCGGCAGGTTAAACACTGCGCGCTTCTGCTTCATCAGAAAACCTCA